CACATTCGGGCCAAGAGTGAGCAATTAGAAATAATGTTTAGAAAACTCTACTGGAATTATCAGTGGAAAATAAATTACTTATATACAAAGTAATACTGAAACCAGTATGGACGTATGGTATCTAATTGTGCGGTGCGGTCAGTAAATCGAACATACAAATTATACAAAGGTTCCAATCAAAATGCCTGGAATAAACAAATACACGAAGATCTTCATATAGATATAGCCGAGGATACAATAGCAACATTTAGTAGTAGATACCAAGATAGACTGGAGTCACCACATACTAATTTTCTGGCTATTGGTCTACTCGGAAACAATGAAACCACGAACAGGCTGAAGCGTTGCAAACCACTAGATTTAGTATATAGATTTAAGTAATTATCAATGTTCAAAATCATCATAATGGTAACTATCCACCGAGAAAGATTATCCATTTAATATCATGATGGATAGATTGTGAATAGAATTATCCGACATAAAAAAGAATATATTATTGGATAAGAATTGCATTCATTGTGTATACATTTTTGCTAAGCTTTGCATTACGAAAATATTTAGTATAATTTCATGCTCCACTGAACTTATTTAAGTTATTATATATAGTTAAAAAAAAAGAGACAATTACCTAAAGAAATATTGCATGCTGTAACTGGCGGCATTCGTGTCGCAAACAATAGACTTCATCGACCCCAACCTATATATATATGCATAAAATATAAAAATAACAACAAATAATTAGAAAAAAAAAACACACAGTCACTTTAAAATCAATTAAATTATGCAATTTACAAATGGAAAATGTTGCACTGTAGCAATATTTGCATCTTTCCAATAAATTCGAAAAAGTTGATTCGTTCTGCGACGCATTGGAAGCAAAATTTTCTACTACCTTAACTAAAGCAAATATCAAATTGTTTATTGTTGAATGTGTGTGTGTGTGTACATTTGTAGTTGTTATCGCAGGTGAAGCGTCATTTAAATAAGAGCCGCATACGTATATTTTATGACAAACGCCAAAATTTTTTCCATTCCTAATAAGCAGCTGTTTGAAGCGAAGGCGAAAACGTTATCATTTGCAAATTTACTGTACGCTTTAAAAAGACGACAAAAATTAAGACACGTAAGTAAAGTTAATCGATTGAGTAATTTTGTTTGTTGGATTTTCTTCGGTCAAGATGCACATTGAATTAGCATATGTTGAATCACGTGAAGGGAGAACGGAGAAAATCTCTTTCAATTCTTCTTGCAAATCGCGCACGTCATGAAATTAACTAATCGGAGTTATTGGGACACGCGATTCGAAATGAAAAAAAAAAATAAAAATTTACAATTACAAAATTTTTCATTCTTGAACCAGATGCGGTCGAGCGAATGTGCGTTGTCCCGGAGGCATTCTGCGCGATGTGTATGTGATGCATGTGGAGGAAGAAGAAGGTGTGTACCTTATCTGTGCAGTTGACCAAGTGTGTATGTGTGTGTGTGCGGCTAAGAGAACGAGGAAAGAAAACTTTGCAAAGCAAAGGTTAATAATAAGATAAATCGAAAAGGCGCGCGCGAGAGAGGCGTTCGCACAATGTCTCTCTTCTACTATCCATTCCGTCCGTCATGGTTTAATGCGCCCGAATGGTCTGAAATCGAATCGAGAGGTTCAGTGTTCTTCGAGATACAACCCGATGGACCAATAAACCACTCCGACAATGGTCAGGTCAGTGTTTTAAATTGCAAAAATTTAATCTAAAATTGATTCGCAACAAATTATCAAATAAGTCAATAAACGCATTCATTGTAAATCATTATTTAATAATACAATAAAGACGACGTTAGTAAACTAGTTTTTTGTTACAATTGTTTCATTCACCTTTTAATAACATCGTAACGTCAAATAGTTTGTATAACCTCGTTGAAATATTTTAAAGTTTCATTTAACTACTGAAATTTTTATTAACTACTCGCGTGGTGTATTTCATACACCACATGTATTACTACCAAACAAAGTGTATAAATGATTGTATTAAGACCATTTTCAAGTTAACTAATGCTTTTTTAATAGATTCATAACTATTTGTAATACATTAATATAACAATTTCTGAATCAGAATTGTCGTCATAAGCGTGAGCAGATGTATCAGCATCGTTCGTTATTACACCAACACTACAAAAAACATGCACAAAAACAACTTCTTTGTGCCGCAATCAACACAATATTGCACCAGCATTTAGTAAACACTTTGGTCATAGGTTACGTTAAGTTTCATAAATGGGGGAAAGAAAATATAGATGTGGTATCATTTTTTTAGAAAATTGGTGTAATTTTTACACCGGCGCGAGTAGTTAAAGATTAAACTGAAATAGAAACAATAGTTAATCAATAGTAACTTCGTAATCTGTAATCTAAATTAGTTAGTAAGAAAATTAAAAAAAATAGATCAACTATGAAAATATACAATTTTCCAACAAATGTATTTACAAGAAAAAGTAGTCTATTTTCTAAAACAGTCTATAAAATAATTGATTGCATAAATTGACGTTAAGTAATTTGACAGCAGTTTATTGTCAGAAATGTCAATCTGACATTTAAATTATGTCAATAAATAGAGTTGTGATATTCAAATAAAATACATTCTACTATGACTATAGTCATAGCTTTGACGAAATAATTGATATTAAATATCATTAAATATCAATCTGACATTTAAATTATGTCAATAAATAGAGTTGTGATATTCAAATAAAATACATTCTATTATGACTATAGTCATAGCTTTGACGAAATAATTGATTGCAGCGGTATAAATAGACGTTAAGTAATTTGACAGTAGTTAATTGTCAGAAATGTCAATCTGACATTTATATTATGTCAATAAATAGAGTTGTGATATTCAAATAAAATACATTCTACTATGACTATAGTCATAGCTTTGACGAAATAATTGATTGCTACGGGATAAATAGACGTTAAGTAATTTGACAGTAGTTAATTGTCAGAAATATCAATCTGACATTTAAATCATGTCAATCATAAGAGTTGTGATATTCAAATAAAAAACATTTTACTATGACTATAGTAATAGTAGGAAGTTTAAAGTTTGAAAAATGGATAAAATTAAAACAAACTGTAATTGCAGTTAGGAAACGAATTGACATGAGAATTATCGGTAAACAGTCTCGTTCTTGACTGCATAATTTTATTGATCAGTTGATTCCGTTTCGCCTTCTTCGGCTTTCAATTAACGTTTTTTAACCTCGTTATCTCCGCGCATAATTTAGAGAAATCTCTATGATTTTTGTACGATTCTTAAGTGTTTAATCCTTGAAAGTTAAAAAGAAAGCAAGTTTTCAGGCCTGTTATCAAAGACCCGGAGTACCGCGAAATCTTTAGGAGGGAAAAAAAACGGTCCACTTTTAAACGCAATTCCGGAATGACCATGAATATCTAATTCCTACATTCGATATTCAAATTTCTCATGATGCAACGAATCTGTTTCGTATTTTTATTTTCATTTTTTTTTCTAGATTGGTCAATTATGCATTGAGAAAAAAAAAACAAAATAAACAAAAAAAAAACGGTAATTGTAACAACTAAATTTTAGTTGAAAATTATACGATGTTATTTATTTGTTATTAAGAATTTGAAACGCGCAGTAGGAACATCAACACGCTTAACTAATATTGACAGTATTTAGTTGAGAGATTGTTTTCTGAAGTACGCGTAAATTCTTTACAAGTATTTGTTGAAATGTTTAAGATTTTCTTCTTTTTTTTTCCAGAAGAATTATGGACGATTTGAACGCGCCGCAGGTGAAGATCGAGCGGCCGCTTTACGACCATCAACAGTTACGTGAAGACTACGAGTATCAAATCTACAAACCTAATTGTAATAATAATAAACTGTCAAGAAATTTGGTAATGAACTGTTATATTGTTTTCAGATTTGAAAAAGTTCGTAGGTTCATGCCAATCCTGTCAGCCAGTCGATGCGCTGAAGAGGAGCATCCCGGTGCTGGAATGGTTACCCAAATACAAATGGAGGAGCGATTTAACCTCCGACCTCATTTCCGGTTTTACAATTGCCATCCTGCAAATTGCGCAAGGTGTGATCACAAATTAAAAAAAAAATCCAACTGACACTTTTCTTCACGTTCTTCTCTTGTTTCAGGTATGGCTTATGGTCTCCTTGGCAACGTATCTCCAGTCGTCGGAATTTACATGGCCTTCTTTCCAAATCTAGTGTACTTCCTTTTCGGCGATTCCAAGCACATTTCCATGGGTGAGTCATTTCAATTTTTCTCGATTTTCATTGTATTTCTACAGTGGCTTCGTTCTATGGCTAATTGACAATTTCCATTGCATTTTATAGCATTAACAGGACACATTAAAACGATATTACAAGCACTTAGCAACGACGACTTTAAAAATGATACCTGAGTGAATAAATCATTGTCAAATTCCAATCATCAATGTTCAAAGCAATTTGGCAGAATTCAATCAAAAATCCACAAAAAAAAAATTTATACAACCAGTAATAGTAACAAAAATATCACTAATTTTCATAAAAGGAACGTTACTATTTAACTTATAAATAAATCATTCTAATGTATTTTATCAAATATTAATTTTAATAATTTGATAAATATTACAATAAGTATAAATATTCAAACTATGAGTCTACATACTAAAAAATTGAAACCGTGTACAGTGAAACCTTGCTTAACGAGTTTAACCAGTTCCAAAACTTCCGGATGTTTACTCGTATAGTGAAACATATTCAAAAGTACACATAATATGTGTACACAAGTTTTAAAAATGATTTAGAAGGCCCGAAATCCGGGACTTCTCTCATCGTCACTCGAGTCATTTTTCTTACAATTCATTGCACATTTTTTCTTTATTGCAATTCGTTAAAGGATCGTCGTTCATCGTACAAATTCTTTTGGCCGAGAAGTTCCAGAATAAAATTAATCACACGAAATCTGTTTGTTGTTTTCGTACAGTTAATAAAACTTTAATCCACGCTAAGTCCACGGTAAACCGAGGCGCAATCCGTAAAATTTCCGATTTACGTAACTCACGTTTGTAATTTAGTTGTTTACGCATGCGACGTCATATGCAGAGCGCGGAATATGCATCTGTATAGAAAAGATTAAACCTGGAATTATTTTAATTCAAATAAAGAATATTTTGAATTACTCGAGTCTTCATTCATTTCTAATCTAATTATAGTATTGCATTTTTATAATTCTAGTTGGAATGTTGTAAATTCAATTTTGTAATATTGCAATTTTATATTATTTTTTTGGTATGTAGGTACCTTTTCCATTGTTTGCTTGATGACTGGAAAGATCGTGATCGAGCACAGCGATCCCAGCTACATGGCTTCCCGCGATCTTCCTTTGGATTCTGTGGATCCTAGTAACCCTGGTTACAGCCCCATAGAAGTTGCCTGTGCCGTAACTTTCGTGGTGGCGCTGCTTCAGGTAATCATCGACTTTCATTAAACAAACAAAAGAAGGAAGCTAAAAAATAACATCATTTTTTTCGCAGATCCTGATGTACATCTTCCGGTTAGGAATCGTGACTTCTTTGCTTTCGGAGACGTTGGTGAGCGCGTTCACCACGGGCTCCGCTTTCCACGTCTTCGTCGCGATGCTGAAAGACGCGTCCGGCATAAAAGGCCCCAAGCAGCGCGGGTATTTCGAAATCTATTACGTAAGTCGAGTGAAAAGATCCATTCAAGCCTACTCTTGACAAATGGGAGCAATTCGCCTTCCGAGTAAAAAATAAATAAATAAACACGTGGCGGAGACATAATTCAGACTCAATTGATTTTTATTTGCCAATTTTATTACTGTTTTATCTGTTGCAGGCCATCAAGAACATCATCGATAACTTCGTCAATATCAATTACGCAACGGTCACAGTCACGGTCATCGTCATCCTCGTCTCGCTGATCAATGAATTCTTTAAAGTAAACTAAATCACTCGCATCTTGTCAAGTAATTATCGTTGCGCGGATTACTTGGCAAGTATCGCTTTAAACTATATTCACTTACCTTAATTTTTGTGTCCGCAGCCGAAGGTCGCGAAGAGATGTTCGCTTCCGATCCCGATGGAGCTGATCGCCATAATTTTGGGAGCGGTCGCCTCTTACACGATGAATCTGCACGACGTTTACGGGATAAAAATCGTCGGACACATACCAGAAGGGTAAACAGAAAACCATCTTACATTTATCTGACTGTTCGTATATTATCCTTTGTTTCCATAGTATTCCTATGCCGGTATTACCAAGGTTCTCTTTGATCCAAGCCATTTGGATCGATTGCATCATGATCGCCATAGTTTCTTACACGATCTCCCTCTCATTAGGCTTAATCTACGCCCAAAAGTACAACTACGAGGTTGACGCCAATCAAGAGCTCTTGGCTCAAGTAAGATTCGCAAGGTCAAATGATTCGTCATTTAATTGGAGCCTTTTTTTTTTGTTTAGGGCATGGGCAACTTGATTGGTTCATTTTTCTCTTGCATGCCCTTCACCGCGTCCCTCTCGAGGAGCTCAGTGCAGGTGGCTGTGGGCGGTAAAACCCAATTGGTCTCCGTGGTGTCTTCGGGCATCCTCTTGGTGGTTCTCATGTGGATTGGACCGTACTTTGAACCTTTACCCAAGGTGTGCTCTTTTCATTTATTTACTTAATTCTCTTAATTTTCAAATAATATTTCATTTTTAGTGCGTCCTCGCCGGAGTGATTATCGTGGCGCTAAAAGGAATGCTCATGAAGGTGACGGATTTCTGCAAGTTCTGGTCTCTGAGTAAACTCGATGGTTTAGTTTGGTTGGTCACGTTCTTCTCCGTCGTCTTCGTCGCCACAGACATCGGTTTGTTAGTCGGCGTGGTCATGTCCCTTGCCTACATCTTTCTCTTAGGCCTCAGACCTTACACCTGTCTCTTAGGTTGGGTCCCCAACACCGATCTCTACCTGGACACGAAACGATACAAAGGCGTACGTTTCTATTAATCTCTGCAACGAAACCAATAATTTGATTAACTATTATTTTGCAGGTGAAAGAGCTTAGCGGAATCAAGATTTTCCATTATCAAGGCAGCATCAACTTCGCCTCCAAGAACTTCTTCAAAGCCGAGCTCTTCAAAGTGCTCAATCTGTATCCTCAGACGGAACTTGCCATCAGGAATAAAGTGGAGAAACTCAAATTGAAGATGGAGAAAGTCGAGGACGAACGTACCACCAACAAAATCAAGAGCAAACTGAAGAAGCTGACGAACAAAAGCAACGTCGACATGAAGTGTTTGATACTAGATTTCAGCGCTCTCAGCTACATAGACCCATCTGGCGTAACGATGCTTAAGTTGCTCTCGCAGGAATTCGAACGTATCGAAATTCCTGTTTACATTGCAGGATGTTCCGGTAAAAAAATTATTATTTGTTTTTATTTTATTTATTCATCAAATATTTTCAGAACCCGTCTACGAGACGATGAGCAAATGCGACTTGTTCAACGATAAATCAATGATCTACAAAATCTTCCCAACAGTCCACGACGCCGTCCAATTCGGTTCATCCACATTCCAAGGAAGCAGCGACACGCTCGTCTCCACGATAAGACTTTAACAGCTACAAAAGACTTACAATTAGCATTAGTAATTACCATAAGATATCTCGGTGTCCACTGTGACAGTGTACATTTTACATAATATATATATTTTAAACGATTATTATTCAAATGAAGCATATTTTCTCCCAATCTAAATTCCATTCATCTATTCCGGTTTAAATTAACGAATGACGAATGCAAACATTAATAATTCAAATTATTTACATATTTACAAATCGCTATTGTTCCAACGCGCGTTTTTAATTATTTAAATGTGATACTGCTGTAGGCAACTTAATTTGCACGCATTCGAATTAATTGCCAACCCAAAACTTTGTTTGTAAACATAACAAGTGGCTGTGGAAACAAAACGAAAATTACGTAAACAATTGGGAAAGTGACGTTAGAAAAAGTCAAACGGAAATGACGGTTTTGTCGAAGAGTAAAGCGGTTGGATGCGATACAAGGTGAGTGGATTAAATTAATAGAATAATCATTAGATTATTTTCTACTTTATTTACAGGTTAACTTTCGGTGTTCCGCTGGAAGATGTGTTTCCCGGCGGCGATATTCATCCATCTCTGAAGGTTTTTTCAAACAGCTTTGGTGGTTGTTGGATGTATTCAAAAAAAAAATGTTTTGTTTTCTTGTTTAGAATTTGTTTCTGTCAATACACGAGGCTCTCTATTTTTCGGGCGAGCCGATCGAGCATCATTTGAGGTGAGTTTCCTGAAATTGGGAAGGTGATTTAGTGATGATGATGCATTTTATGATGAATCAGCGATGATCGGCAATTGAGTGGCGGCGGATGTTTGCGGCTGCAGGTTGCGTTGGAGGGATGCGAACCGATCGATTTGATGCCACTGGAAACGCTCTTGTCCGGATTGAAGCATTACCTTAGGTCTCTGCCGATTCCTCTGCTCCCGAAGTACACGGATGGAAGGCACTTCGTTTGGCAGAAGCTGGGGCAGCGGTGCCAGCAGTACATGCAGACGCAGTTCAAAGCGGAAGAAACCAATTTATATTTAATCGAGTTGTTGACTGAGTAAGAATATTCCGAGAGTTTGTTATATTTTGTTAACTAATTTAATCAACAGCGAATTGTTAAAATTGCCGGCGGTTAATCTTCTTCTCATCGGATATCTGATGAACTTCTTCCGGAGTTTAATTGCAGCGCGCGATGGGAAATTGAGCAGAAAATCGGCGAACGCTCTGATCAACTATTTTTGGCCGTCGTTTCTACACAAATCCCGGAGGATTCAACCACAGGTTGGACTTTAAGTTTTTTTATTTAATTAAGTTAATTTGCTTTCGTTTTAGGGTATTCAACAACCGTGCAGATCGTTGATCTTCTACATGCTCATTAAATGGCCCGAACTGCAGCTCCGGTGCGTTCGGAAAAGTCCGCTGTGCTTTGCTCGTTATAACAGAAAACGCTCATTGGAGATAATCAAAGAAAGTGTCGAAGTCGAGAGCGAAAGACTGGTGCAAGAGGAGATCATTGGAAGCGATTCCAATGATAGTTTCATAACCTCGCCTGATATCGACTTCTGCAGAGATGTTGCTTCACAAACAGATCCTGAAGAATCCAGAACCGCTACCACACAGACCGTTTTACCAAAACGTTTCGCCGAATCCGTCTCGACGCAAACGTCTTTATCGGATGCAGTTAAGGAGAGCAAATCCTCGGGATTCAAGCTGTGCTGTCAATCGGTTTCCACGCAGATCGAGGAAACTTTCTTCAAATCGTCGCCGAAATCCTCCCAAGAATCCGACAACAGTTACGTAAAATTCTCGGACGACGACGATTACATTTTCGATGAGGACTACAAGCGGAAATCCGAACTGGTGGCGAGGGCGTCGCAGATCGGCTGGTCGTACACACCCCCAACGAAAGACGTCAAATCCGATTGGAAGATCCCCAAAGATGATTACAAGATCTGTTTCGACCGAAAAGAAGACGCGAACAATGCGAGCTTCGAGGAATGCAACGTGCAGACGCCGCTCAACCCGCCGAAAAGTCGCAGCAGCTTGTCCAACTTCAGCGCGAAGCTAAAATCGAAATTGGATCTGCTGAAGATGTTCAAGGATCGCAGGATACGGAAATCGGCGAGCGACGAGAAGGTGGCCATCAAATACCAGAAAATGGACGGAGAAACGCTCATTGGAGATAATCAAAGAAAGTGTCGAAGTCGAGAGCGAAAGACTGGTGCAAGAGGAGATCATTGGAAGCGATTCCATGATAGTTTCATAACCTCGCCTGATATCGACTTCTGCAGAGATGTTGCTTCACAAACAGATCCTGAAGAATCCAGAACCGCTACCACACAGACCGTCATTGTTGTTCGTACATTGAAGTGACTTAAGTAACTATAGTCTTGCGTCCGGTGTCGCGAGTGAACGTGATAATAAAAATGGTTGGTTACTACCATTATGTGATCGTGGCTTTAGCCGTGATTTCGGCAACGCTTTTGGCAATATTTTTGTTCTCTCGGAGACATCTATATCTCCTCTCCTATGCGCTTCCAGGACCGACGACCTTGATCCCTCTCGTAGGAAATCTGGGTTCATTCTTTATGCACAGAAAAAGTAATCGTTATTTCATATAAAGCTGCAATTCGTTAACACTAAACCATCGATTGCAGACGTTTTCCAATTTTTCGATAGGATTGTCGCCAAATTCCCACAAACTTTTAGATTCTGGTTCGGCCCCAAATTGATCGTCGTCTCCAGCGATCCCGCTGCGGAAACAACACGAAAGTTACGTAAACAATTGGGAAAGTGACGTTAGAAAAAGTCAAACGGAAATGACTGTTTTATCGAAGAGTAAAGCGGTTGGATGCGATACAAGGTGAGTGTATTAATAGAATAATCATTAGATTATTTTCTACTTTATTTTAAGGTTAACTTTCGGTGTTCCGCTGGAAGATGTGTTTCCCGGCGGCGATATTCATCCATCTCTGAAGGTTTTTTTCAAACAGCTTTGGTGGTTGTTGGACGTATTCAAAAAAAAATGTTTTGTTTTCTTGTTTAGAATTTGTTTCTGTCAATATACGAGGCTCTCTACTTTTCGGGCGAGCCGATCGAGCATCATTTGAGGTGAGTTTCCTGAAATTGGGGAGGTGATTTAGTGATGATGATGCATTTTATGATGAATCAGCGATGATCGGCAATTGAGTGGCGGCGGATGTCTGAGGCTGCAGGTTGCGTTGGAGGGATGCGAACCGATCGATTTGATGCCACTGGAAACGCTCTTGTCCGGATTGAAGCATTACCTTAGGTCTCTGCCGATTCCTCTGCTCCCGAAGTACACGGATGGAAAACACTTTGTTTGGCAGAAGCTGGGGCAGCGGTGCCAGCAGTACATGCAGACGCAGTTCAAAGCGGAAGAAACCAATTTGTATTTAATCGAGTTGTTGACCGAGTAAGAATATTCCGAGAGTTTGTTATATTTTGTTAACTAATTTAATCAACAGCGAATTGTTAAAATTGCCGGCGGTTAATCTTCTTCTCATCGGATATCTGATGAATTTCTTCCGGAGTTTAATTGCAGCGCGCGATGGGAAATTGAGCAGAAAATCGGCGAACGCTCTGATCAACTATTTTTGGCCGTCGTTTCTACACAAATCCCGGAGGATTCAACCACAGGTTGGACTTTAAGTTTTTTTTTAAATTAAGTTAATTTGCTTTCGTTTTAGGGTATTCAACCACCGTGCAGATCGTTGATCTTCTACATGCTCATTAAATGGCCCGAACTGCAGCTTCTGTGCGTTCGGAAAAGTCCGCTGTGCTTTGCTCGTTATAACAGAAAACGCTCATTGGAGATAATCAAAGAAAGTGTCGAAGTCGAGAGCGAAAGACTGGTGCAAGAGGAGATCATTGGAAGCGATTCCAATGATAGTTTCATAACCTCGCCTGATATCGACTTCTGCAGAGATGTTGCTTCACAAACAGATCCTGAAGAATCCAGAACCGCTACCACACAGACCGTTTTACCAAAACGTTTCGCCGAATCCGTCTCGACGCAAACGTCCTTATCGGATGCAGTTAAGGAGAGCAAATCCTCGGGATTCAAGCTGTGCTGTCAATCGGTTTCCACGCAGATCGAGGAAACGTTCTTCAAATCGTCGCCGAAATCCTCCCAAGAATCCGACAACAGTTACGTAAAATTCTCGGACGACGACGATTACATTTTCGATGAGGACTACAAGCGGAAATCCGAACTGGTGGCGAGGGCGTCGCAGATCGGCTGGTCGTACACACCCCCAACGAAAGACGTCAAATCCGATTGGAAGATCCCCAAAGATGATTACAAGATCTGTTTCGACCGAAAAGAAGACGCGAACAATGCGAGCTTCGAGGAATGCAACGTGCAGACGCCGCTCAACCCGCCGAAAAGTCGCAGCAGCTTGTCCAACTTCAGCGCGAAGCTAAAATCGAAATTGGATCTGCTGAAGATGTTCAAGGATCGCAGGATACGGAAATCGGCGAGCGACGAGAAGGTGGCCATCAAATACCAGAAAATGGACGGAGCTAAATCCACACTGTTCTGAACGCTGTCACAATTATTCATTTATTTATAGAAAAAAACAAACAATTGCGATTGGTATGTAATTAAGCCTGCGAAAAATAACCGTAAATTGCTATTTTGTATTTGCTGCACTTTGGATGTCGCAGTACACGATCATTGTTGTTCGTACATTGAAGTGACTTAAGTAACTATAGTCTTGCGTCCGGTGTCGCGAGTGAACGTGATAATAAAAATGGTTAGTTACTACCATTATGTGATCGTGGCTTTAGCCGTGATTTCGGCAACGCTTTTGGCAATATTTTTGTTCTCTCGAAGACGTCTCTATCTGCTCTCCTATGCGCTCCCAGGACCGACGACCTTGATCCCTCTCGTAGGAAATCTGGGTTCATTCTTTATGCACAGAAAAAGTAATCGTTGTATCATATAAATCTGCAATTCGTTAACACTAAATCATCGATTGCAGACGTTTTCCAATTTTTCGATAGGATTGTCGCCAAATTCCCACAAACTTTTAGATTCTGGTTCGGCCCCAAATTGATCGTCGTCTCAAGCGATCCCGCTGTTCTAGACGTAAGTGTAACTGTTAAACTGCATAAAGAAAACCTAATGTAATTTAAAACTTGAAGAAAATCTCAAAATCTGCTGCTTTCGAATACGTGGATGTCTTTGATTCGAATCAGAAAGAGACCGGTGAGTAATGTTGGTTGCCTACAATAATCATTTTATAATTTCAGTTTAAACTATGTACAATTTTATTGTAAATTTTTAAAACACTTCTAAACTAATACTTCTAAACTAACACTTTTTTGTATGTATCCACAATATCGTTTTCTCTGTAAGGAAAATGTATTTGCTCATTATTCACTCAGCAAAAGTAGTGTTGTAACAAGATTTTTTAATGTTAAGTCGTCTATCAAAGTTTATGAAAAATTATGAACATAAATTGCACTTTCATTTTTATAACGCAATTTCTTTAAATACGTTACATTTAATTTGAACAAAACAAAAAAAAACATGTTCCATGTTTTATGTGCAAGGTCAATCGCGCAACGTCCTTATAAATATATGTTACGAGATGTGTATACGCAGTTATTATTATCATTGCTTAATTGAGACACTTTGGACATTATGTAACCTTCGCTAAACTTTTTTTTTTGTATTTTTTAATGAATTTAATATACGAAGATGAAATATTTAAATATAAATATTCATGTTATATTTACAGTTTCATTATTAAATAAAATTTAAATGATTTTTCATCTTGGTTAGATGAACGTTGGAGGATGCACAAGAAGCTGATAAGACCGTTGATCAACGTTAAGTTCGCTATCGATAATATCGCGACGTTTCAGGAGCACGGCAGAATCTGCACGACTCTGCTCGAAAAACATTTGAACAATAAAGAATTCGACGTGCATCAGTATCTGTTCCCATGCTTTTTGGACATTTACGGAGGTAAAACTTTTGAAATAATAATAATTTTGATTATATATTGAATATCGAGTTTGCAGAGATTCTGTGCGGAAAGGTGATAGGATGTCAGAACGGTCGCAATCGGAATTTGATTTGGGCAATGGAGACGTTAGTTCTACTCAAAATGTCAAAGTCAATTGTTTCATGTTTTTTTTGTTTATAGCGTGCTAAAGTTGAGGGACATCGAGAGGGCTTTCAGGTGGTTACATCTTTGGTCACTTTACAAGATGACCGATCATTATAAACAATCTAATGATGCGAGGGAGATGCTGTCGTATTTCATTCAGAACGTGAGAGTCCGGGGATAAAACTGATATTTCGTTATTGCTCTTGTTTTGTTGAAAATTGGAATTTTACAGGTGATCAGGAAATCTTGGCAGAGGAGGAAGTTGGACGTGTTCGGGGAGAACAAGACCGGGGCGACTCCTCTGGTGGATAGAATTGCGGAATTCGTCGAGAACAACAGGAAGGCAATGAGGAACGAAGAGTTTCGTGATTACCTTCTGAAAATATATATCGAGGTACACATCGTATTTTTTTCCAACCAATTAAATGAATACTCATAATGCCACGTGTTTAATTTAAATGCTTATTACGGGTTAAGGTGCAACGATGAGTATTCATTTGTAGCTGCATAAAATTTGATTGGTTTTGGATTTTTGATGTTTCAGGCGTCTTCGACGTCGGCGTTAATTGCATCGTACGTCTGCGTGTGCTTCGGGATGTATCCGGAATGTCAGGTAATCGAAAGATTAAGTGTTATTACGAATCAGATGGTAATTGAAGTGTGCGACGGTCAAGGTCAGAGCTGCAACCGAGATCCGAGCGAATCTGGGTGAAGACCTGCAGAATCTCAAGTACGAGAATTTGTACAAGCTGAAGTACTTGGAGATGTGCATACTCGAGGCAACGCGTCTTGTGCCGAAGAGCTGCTTCACGATAAGGACTTTTACCGAGAGCGTCGACCTCGGCGACGACGTTACCCTACCAGAGGACTGCCCGATCTTGATCCCCAACTACTGGATGAACCGTTCCGAATCCTACCAGAAACCTGACCACTTCTACCCGAATAACTTCCTTCCAGAGAACGTGAAATGGCGGAAAAGTGGAAATGAATCGCACGGCTCCGGTACACACGAGTGCATTGGTAAATCTTTTATACATGCACACAACCAATTGCATCTCATTGTTTTCAGGACGTCTGCTGTCGATGGTCGGCCTGAAGATCATCATATCGCAAATCGTCAGCAGGTACAGGATCGAAGCCGATGGAAAGTTTCACGATCTGCGGATCGGTAATCCCTCCTATCCGAAACCATCGTTGCACGGATTCAGCTTGTGTCTGCGGGATTGACCATCGCAGAAAGTGGAACAAATAGAAAACTTGCGACACTCGAAAAGTGCACACTCGTTTTCCATGAAACTAAACTAAATAAATGCGAATGATAGCGAACAACACGCGCCATCAGAATAGAAAATTACCCAAACACCCATCCTCTTCTTCTAAACTTTAATGTCATTACACATTTATGAATTATTCAAATTTTTATAATGAAAATAATAACACTTAATTAAGGTTTCGTTTAACTCCTTTGGACTTTGAGTTCTCGCTTTAAAGTTTTCAATTACTCGCAATAATGAACGAACTATTAAAAATAAATTTTGTTAATTTATGTGCATCAAGATTAATGGTAATTGTTTTACGATAACGCTACTTCCACTAACGCTATTTCTTTTTTTAATTCTCTCCCACCCAAACGTTGAGGTTCACGACCAAAAACAATAAATTAAGAGACGGTATGCAGCGTGTCTCACTCGCGGTATGAAATCGAAACGCAATTGAAGCGAAAGATCGAATTTTCTTTTTGAGTGAAGATCTGCAAAGATGTACGAGTGGTACGCGTTCTTTCTACTGTCAATCCTTCCTTTGACGATGCTGGTACAGTTCTTTTGGTCCAGAAGAAAGTTACACGAGTGCGCCAGACAATTCGACGGTCCTCCGGCTCTTCCGATCATCGGGAACGCTTTGAGCTTCAACTGCCACCACATGAGTAAATGATAAAAAAAAACACGATGCTCGACGAACTCCAAACTATATTTCTTCTGCAGAAATCTTCCAGAGGGTTCGAAAAATCTTGAATCGTTGGCCGCAACCGCCAAGATTATGGTTGGGACCGAGGCTCATCCTGTTCTTCACAAACATCAAACACGTAGAGGTATTTGCAATCCGTTGGAAGCGCTGAAGTTGTATGATCAAAGTAATGGTTTTCAGAGGATCATGTCCTCCACGAAACTGGCCCACAAGAGCGACCTCTACTACAAAACGTTTTCGGATTACACCGGGAACGGACTGATCGTGTCTTCAGGTGAGTCTTTGAAAGAAATCATTAAGTAAATTACTTTGAACGACACGGAGACAGGAGCTAAATGGAAGGAGGATCGCAAACGGATTCAGCCGATGTTCAGCCTGAAGTATTCCTTCTGCAAAATCGAAATGATACACAGATACGTGGACGTTTTGGTCTCCAATTTGGAGAATTTGGTGGACGGAGATCTGCACGACATCTATCCGATCTTCCACACCTGCTGCTTTGATATAAACGCCGGTAAAGCGCCTAAAATAAAACTTTTCTTTATTCTTTCGAATCGTTGGAATTAATTATAGAGATCGTTTACGGCTTGCAACTGGATAGTCAGCGCGGTAATAACATGGATATTTCGCACGCGATCGAAAAGTAACTTACCTGTACTTGGGATCATCACTTACAAAAAAAAGTGACATTTGTATTACTTTTGTTTCCAGGGCCTATCAACTCGTGTACGAACGGATGGTCAAACCATGGTTGCTCTTCTCTCCGATCTATCATTTCAGCCGCAACAAAGTTGAACGCGATCGCGTTAAAAAGATCATGTGGGATTTCGGCACGAAGGTTTGTACAAACGATGATAAAATCCGTTAATTTTCTGTTCCCTTCAAGGCTGTGGCAGCATCGGACGAACGCTTGAAAAACTTGCAACACGACAATTACCATGAACAAATGCCGATCGTCGACCAAATGAATCAGAGCATTGTCAATGATGGCATGGTTACCAGCAGAGACGACATGATCTATCAGTTGATGACGCTTTTCACTGCGGTAAGTTAGAAATGTTTGCAAATATTCATTCAAGTTACTTGAAAAATGTTAAATTTCAGGCTGAAGATACTATGTCGATAACGTCCAGTATCCTTGTAGTCTGCTTCGGAATGTACCAGGAGCACCAGGTCAGCACCAATAAGCTTGTAAAATCAGCGTCAAAGTCCATTACATAATTGTCGTTTCAGGAGATGGCGTTGAAGGAGATCCACGATATCCTGGGTCCGGAACCGCGAGATGTCACCGAAGATGAACTGCGGGATTTCAAGTACATGGACATGTGCATCAAAGAGGCCGTGCGATTGGCGACCATCGCTCCGTTCATCATCAGAAAATGCATCGAAGAGATGCAAATCGGTAATGTAATTGTATCTCAATTTACTTAATTGTCATCTTGATCCTTCCTACGCAGGCGAATACACGATCGTTCCAGGATCGGAAATTTGCATACCGATATTCGACATCCATCGGGATCCCGAACACTGGGAGAACCCGGAACATTTCCATCCGGATCACTTCTTGGAGGAGAACGTGAAGAAACGGAATCCGTACGCTTATTTGGCGTTCAGCGCTGGTCCGCGCTCGTGCATCGGTGAGTTCAATGCTACGTCAGGACGCAAACATTCAAGTTTGAACGTTTTCTTGCAGGAAAGCACATCGCTCTGGTCGCGTTGAAGACGATCATGATCCGCCTCCTAACGAAATTCAAATTTTCCGCACCCGGAAAAATGCCCGATCTTAAGTTCCACGCCGACATCTCCGTGAGGTTGCGTGACGGCTACAACGTGAAAATCACCAAAAGAT